CTTCTACAGTTTTTTCGAATTTTTATTTAAGTTATAAACAACTGAGTTTCCTTTAAAAACATATTTGTCAATTAATAAGCAATGTTGTAGAAGTGCGATTTTCTCTTTCCTCTCAGATAAGTTGCTCATGTTACTTCTTATAGGCTACGATTTCCCGATAGGGGAATAAACTATATAACAACTGTGCAAATGTCTAAGAGGGAGGTATTGTTAGTTCCATTTTCATGCATGTACTTAGCACTGTGTGTGTGTTATGTTTTTCACAATGCAATATGTGTGCATGATGTTTACTTTACAATTTATGTTTTATTAAAACTTTATTAGCCGGCAACTGCTTTTGTTTTACTCAAGCTCAACAGAGAACAAATAATAACACAAAATTCAAGCTGTTACGCTTTTTGTTGTTGTTTTGTTTAACTCTGGCTTAGAAAGAACAAATAAAAATTATAAGTTCATGTTAGAGGTAAAAGTGTTTCATATCATGAGATATTGTAAGTGGATATATTAGTTTTGAGTAAATACGTACACAAAGTATTGAAATTCTTTGCTGCAATTTATAGAATGAGCTTTGATGTAGAATACTCTTCGAAATAACATAAATAATTTAAAATGAGCAACAAAAAAAATCCCTTTAATTTTCAATTTTTTTTTTACTTATAATACTTATAATGTGTAACTTATAATAGTTAATTTAGCCCAAATGAGCTATTTCAAAAAATTACATTTCTACAAAATTTATTTAAAAAACCCGTGAAGTAATCATTTTTTGGTATTACATTTTATATTTTTTAATAGAATGAGCTTTGATGTAGAATACTCCTAGAAATAACATAAATAATTTAAAATAAGAAAAAAATCTCTTTAATTTTAGATTTTTTTCCCTTTTTTTCTTTTACTTAAAAAGTATAACTTATAATAATTAATTTAGCCCAAATAAACTGCTTCTAAAAATTACATTTCTGCGAAATTTATTTTAAAAATCTACCCGTGAAGTAATCATTTTCTGGTACTACAATTTACATTTTTTTTATAGAATGAGCTTTGAAGTAGTATACTCCTAGAAATAACATAAATAATTTAAAATAGCAAAAAAAATCCCTTTAACTTTCAATTTTGTTTTTCTTCCTTTGTTTTCTATTTTTTTACGTTAAATGTGTAACTTATAATAATTAATTTAGCCCAAATGAATTGTTTCTACAAATTACATTTCTGCAAAATTTATTTAAAAAATCAACCCGTGAAGTCATCATTTTCTGGTACCACGTTTTACATTTTTCCTCTTAATTATTTCTGACTTAATATAGCGTATTAAATCTGAAATGAGTCAACGAGAATTCTGCTCGCTTTCTGCTTTAATTAATTATTTGTGATAATACTAGTGTAATTTGCATAACTGACCCAAAATCTATGATGTCTTGACCTAAAAACCTCGATTCTTTTAATTTCTTGAAATACTATATTTTATTGTTCTTTAAGCCTCATAGTCATTTGGTTTGTAGCCCTGATACAGTTCTCAAATGTATAATTGTAATCAAGTTCTAAAATATATAGTTATTTAGCTTAATTTATTTATAGTAAAACCTCGATTATCCATTGTCTGATTTTTTGACAAATTCGTGAGAGTTAGAAATATGGTTATTTTAAAAATCTGCTAATTCATTATAGATTCCATTTGATGATACTTTATTCGAATTAGTTTAACTTTTATATGACATTTTTTCGAACTGCCTTTCATGCCTCATGACATTTAGTTCAGGAAAAATTATGCCGTGTGATATTTTTTCTGCGAGAGATTTTATGACATATTTTACTATAGTCAAATTCTGCCAAATCATGTTTTGTTCATGTGAGATTCTATGATACGATATATTTTGTACAAGTCAAATTTTGCTTAGATTTGATCATCGTGATATTTCGTTCTTCAGTATAATACTGAACCACAAGATTTTTATCATTTATTATTATAATTATTATTATTTAATATTTTTGTCGATCATAAACTTTTTTATTTTATAATGACAAACTGTCCCCGTACACCAGGGGGTACGCGTACCACACTTTGGGAAACACTGGTTTAATGAATGAGTTTTTGCCCCTGCCCCTGATGCCCCTGATGGTATGAATTATCCGCAGAATTCATTTATTTCATTTAGACCCAGTATCTTTAATTATATAGCAGGAATCATTTTAGAAGAACCTTTAATCCGTTAGTGCATGTTGACTAATGCGCCCTTATTGGACACGAGGATTGCTTATTTGTATTGTTACCGTAAATTAGGTTGAACAAAAGTAGTAAATGTAAATAAAGTTTAACTCATAGTAATATATTTATAGTGTTATATCATATATAT